AGCCTGCCTGGGTTCAAGCCCTGCATTGAGCCTGGGTTCAAGCCCTGCGTGGAGCCTGGGTTCAAGCCCTGCATTGAGCCTGGGTTCAAGCCCTGCGTGGAGCCTGGGTTCAAGCCCTACATGGAGCGGGGAGAGGAGGATTGAGGGGCTGGACTAATTATTGAATAAATTTGTCAACAGCACAAATAAAGTGATGTATCGGTTTTCTTGGAAAGTTTTTAAGATTCTATCCTCGAAAATAAATCGACAAGAAATTTAATTATTTAAAGATGCCGGTTTTTGGAGAATTGATTACTTTACAATTGAGCTTCTGATGCTAAGAAGAAAACTTTCATGCACAATAATCAGTTTATGTTCGAAGCATCTTTTGTGAGTTGGTATCATTGTGGTAACTTGGTTTTGGCGAGAATGTACTACCAGTTCTATCAAACAAAAGTTACATTCATGGAGAATTTATTCAAAGTTTATGTTACATTTAAACGAAGAATTATGTTTTATCTTTGGAGCTTTCTTTCCTCGTTTTTTAGCACAAAATTAATCGTTTGTCTTTGCTGTAAATGAATAACGCAGCTAGCAAAAGATGCATGCAGAACTTTTTGGACAAAATATTTTAATTAAAACAAGCGTGTGTGTTCACTCTTGCGGAAATTCAAATTCCTAAAAATTTATCCGAAGTTCGCAGTTTACTACATTTTGATTTTAACAAAGATTGGTTGATTAAAGTTTTAATTCACGTATAAGTCGGGATGAACAAAGAAATTTAAACTTACCAAATTTTCCTGCCAAAAGTCTTAGTATATAGAGGGCACATTTTTTCATCACACCTTTTTTAATTGAAATTACCTAACTAATTAGGATATGAGAAGACACTTTGATTTAAATAGAAGTTATTGCTCTTGAAACCCAAGTGTGATTTATTGATTAAAAAACTATAATTGAGACAATATTATAAAAATAAAAGATTACACAAAACAATGTTTGTTGACTTTATTGACTCATAACAACAATATCAAAGAGACAAATAAAAATTTCCATTTAGTGGCAATATAATCACTTATTTAAAAAAAAAAAACTGAGCATGCGTATTTTGAGCGCCCGTATTTTTTTAAGTTTTTTTGGCAGGAAAATTGAAAAATTTTCAACAGATATTACTTACAGAAACAAATATCTGAAAAAAGTTTTCTAAAAAAACGGCTCATGCATATATATATTTTGAGCGTTTCCAATGCGTATTACAAGAGCCAACATTTGGTCTTATTCACAGTTAATTGTTAATTTAAGATTAGAATTGTAATAGAAATGTTAAATGAACGATACCCAGAAAGCAAACAAAACAAGTTTTCATTTTTAGGGGAACAATCGTAGTCACATAGACCTTGACCTAGGAATGTAAAACGATACATGTGCCTGCATTATCGATTAATAGTGATTTCAGGAGCTTTATCTACTGGTAAGCAGAATTACTTCAAAAAGTTTACAGATGATGAAAGGACATCATATTTATATCATTTGCATAATCTGCACCACAACTACCCACATATTGCTTACGCAATCTCCGGGTTAATGACCTATTATTGTTGAGTTTTCGAATTCCTCAGGCGTAGTGTGGAAGGAAATCATTTGTAGCATTTTGAGAGTGAAAACGCCGTTTTCAAAATTCTTCAACGCAGTGTGGAGGCCCGGGGGGGGCTACTCCCATATAAAAAGGACGGGGGTGCTCATCGTAACATTTAGGGCTTAAAAAAAGTAGGTTTTGGTACCTCTTAGAGTGTTCAGCCTCAAAAAGTTCCTAGCGGGAGCTTTTGCGGTAACTTTTAAAGTATTCAGCCGAAAAAAAAAATATGGCAGGAATGAGGATGTGTTGTTTTAGAATTGGTACCTCTTATGGGGTGAAAAAACATTCACGCCACGCCCAAAACACAGGATCTTGGTATCTCTTAGAGATTTCTTTTCAAAATTGCTGACGAGCACCCACGTCCTTTTTTATGTGGGAGTCCCTAGCCGTCCCCAGGGGTGGACGGGGCCTGAGTCACAATGGTGCGTATCACACGGCGAGTGCCAGACTTTGCGTGCCCTGCTAGATCCATGTTACGCCGCAAAATGTAACAACTAACGCAAAAAATAACATAAACGTGAAATGTAACATTAACTCGAATTGTAACAACTTTTGATGCAAAATGTGACACTTTCTTTAACGGAATTTTAACAACTTTTTAACGTAAAATGTAACAGCTTCTTTGACGCGAAATATAACAACGCAAAATGTAACAACCTTAGTGAGAATTATCGGTAGATATCTCAGTTGAATTCCTATGATGCGCCTTGCAGGACGTACCGTGCCGGGGTTGTTTGGTTTTAAAGTATCGACGCGCCGCACACCCCCACCCAAATGTTCTTGGAACACCCCCTTCCGGAAGATAGCCGACT